TCTATCCTACCGCTTTGATGTGAAATTGGCAGTGTTTGTGACATGATTTTTGCAGCGATCACCGCTCATTATATCCCCATTATTTGGAGTCTATCCAGACGCCAATCTTTTAGGAGTGCAAAGTTGAGTGCAAAAAAATAAATAAATAGCCAAAGGCATTTTACACAGCATTAGAAAAGCTAACCAAAGTTTGGAGTAATGGGTCACTGATATATTGCTTATCAATGTTTGAAATATTCTTTTTCAACCGGGAGGCTACAAAGAGGACCTTCCCTGCCCTAAGCAGTTTCAGAACAAGTTTGGGTAGGCAACTGCCAGGAGTGCTTGACACACAGGATATCCTGTCAAAAGGGCAACAGAGTGAGCTATGCAGATTACTGATTCCCTTGCATCACTGTGATTCAATAAGAGACACAATGTCCTCAAGAAACACTCCTTGACCTCTTGTTTCACTTCAGCCTGTTACAACTATGCTCAGATCTGAAGGCTAGCCGATACGGATCCTATTCCGATCTGAAGAAGCTAAAGGCAAAATGAAGAATGAAGCAGGGCAGGCTCCAGCAAGCAGTGGTATGTAAAATGCTTGAGGTCAACACTGAGAGCGTACCTGAAATATTCTGACCTCACAATATGCTGTTTCTAGGGGGAAACAAAACCATTTTCAGATCAGATCAGTCCTGATAGGCTCGGAATGACCTATGATGATGATGTTCTCATGACTGAATGGAACAGGTAGAGGTTGGAACTGCTGGAAAATCCACCTAACTCAGTTCATCTTCTCAATTTATGATGGCAACTGATGCCATCAAAAGTGGACGGATCCCCCTTTCTCGCTCCTTTATGTTCCTTCTTTGTTACCCCCAAGTAAGCCTTTCATTGTGACAGTCACAAGTTTGTTTCCTATACACAACATTGTTTGCTTTCTGTTGTAGCAATGCAGCAAATACCATGCTTGGTTTTATCTAGCGGCATCCTCAGCAAACCCATCCATGTTGTCATCACCCAAATGTCACCATAATGCACTTGCAGTCGAGTGTGAGAAACAGGTACATAAAGTGTGGCATTTGCACAATGACATCCTCATACACATCTCCTCATTCCCTTGCCCCACAAAACTGTTAGCAAGGAAAGATTGCCACTAAGCACCCAACCAGCCAATTTTTTCACACACCATGATGCTGTGATATCCCAACTCATCCTTTTTCAAAATGGTCCATTCCGAATGGTGCTGACGTCCTAACATCTATTTCCCTGCCCAGTTCGGCAATGGGGCAGCATAACATTTGGGTGCTCTGTCAATCTCACATCAGTGTTGCAAGCACCGAGTAGCAGCTGAAGAGACCTTAACCAATAGTTTCTCAATGCTTATGGAATTCTTCTTCTATTATGATAGTTACTTTATGAGATACACACACACATACACACATACATATCACACATAAACTGAGAATAAATTTTAGCCAGTCTTATCAAGATGCCTGCATCCCAGACAGACAGGAAAAGATGGAAATAGCGATAAAGAGTATAGAGAAAAAACAGCACCAGAGGAACAGGGGAGGGACTGGCTTGTTTTCATTTACTCCCATTTCCTGGTTTGGCCCTTGCTGTGTTTCAACTCATAAATAGCCCTTACAGCGTATGAAAAAGATATGCAGTCCATCCTGCTCACAAATACACACTTCAAACACAGAAGAGGGCCTTGATGGTGTTTTGACATTTCACCTCATCTCCCAGGGCCTATACCTGGCTATGTGCTCTTAACATATTTTCAAAATAAATTTGATGAAAAAAGACAACGGGGGAACTTAAAATACATGGGAAAGGGGACAAAATGATACATTGTACACTATATCAAAATATGGGTTTATGGAAATGACTAAAATGACCTCCAGTATAACCTGAACTCCTACTGAACAGCATATTGATGCTGTTATATAGAGAGAAAGACAGAGAGACAGAGAGATAGAGGAACAGAATTCTTATACATATAACTATGCAATCATATACATCGTGTGTGCATATATACATATACATGCTGTTTGTATGAGTGTTCATATACAGTATGTGCAGCTGTATATGTATATATGCACATATGATGTATATGCGTGCAGTTATGTGTATATGAATTCTGTCTCTGTCTCTGTCTCTATGTATGTATGTATGTATGTATGTATGTATGTATGTGTGCAAGTATCTATGCATGTGTGTGTGTATATACATCTACTTGTATGGTAAATGTATATGTGCATTTAAATATCCATGCATCTGTATGTGTGCATGTAATATATCTATGTATGCAAAGGTATATTGTATAATGGGTATATAAAGTTTACATCTGTATCTTTGTATTTATGTATACACACATACCATTTTTGTATTGTTTATTCAGTCATTCACAAAGGTTTGGGGAAAAAAAATTAAACAGGGACATAACACAGAAAGGTGCTTGAAGCCAAGTGAGACCATGGATCAATCTGACTCAGTATTGGCTCTGTTCTTTCACAGTGACCCTCCCAGCTTGCAAGTTCAGCTTTTTCTGAATTCTGGCTAGATATTCTAAGGCTTGAACCCTTCTTTTTTCCCACACAAAGGACAAAGCAGACACTGAATTACAGTCCCACTCACAAGGGTGGCATCAGTGAGAATTAAATTATTACCAGAATCTTAAAAGAAAACCTTAATGGGAAGATTGATTAGACTTTCAAAATTCCTTTCATGCAGATATGTGCTCTTATGATAAACAGCAACAACTGTGTTTCCCTGAAAATAAGACCAGGTCTTATATTAATTTTTGCTCCAAAAGATGTATTGGGGCTTATTTTCTGGTTAAGTCTTATTTTGGGGGAAATACGGTACTAAATGCATCTGTCTGGCTGACGATCTTAATTGGAGCTTATTTGGGGGGCAAGGTTTATATTACGAGCATCCTGAAAAATCATGCTAGAGCTTATTTTCCAGTTAGGTCTTATTTTGGGGGAAATGTGGAATTTTATATTTTAATGAAACTGAAAACATTATCCATCAGATTATGCTACATGACCCCAAGATCCAATTCATGTTTTTTTTGAAAGAGCAAAATTTGTTGAGAAGAAAACATTTATAAATTATTTCCCTTTATAAAAAAATGTTATTTTTTTTTTAAAAAAATCCCTGTTCACAGATTGCTTCTTGGTAAATCAGAGCAGGGAAAGGTGCTGTATTAATTGGGTGCAATAAACAACAAAAGATCACTGGGACAGTCTCCCTGGGACGTGGTAACGGACAGCCAACCTTTAGGTAACATCGTGAGATGGGTCCCAGGAAAGTAAACATGTAATTCTAGTTCTGCAAAGCAAGGAATAAAACCCCACAAGGAATTGGGATTGAATTTAACTCAGGAACCTCGATAAGGTATAGAGTGAGCCAGGAGATAGATTTTTAGTGACTGCAGTTTTGCACCTTTCCTGTTCTGACATCTATTGAATTTTTACTATAGCATCAGATACAAACAATCTCAAAAGGTTATGCAAGCATAAAGGAGTTAGTCTTTATAATACCACCAGATGCCATTTTTTTTCCTTTATCTGCTTAACATCAGGGCAGATCTCTTTCACAAATTATTACAGATAACAAAACCTGTTTTTTGTCTTCTGCCTGCCCATGTTCTGGCATTCTTATGTTTGGGATGTTTAGCTACAAAAGCCTGCAAGTAGGAATTTTTACCATCATTTCTATACTATGGATTGTTTTGTATTTCATATTGTTTGATTGTTCTAAGCTGCCCAGGGTCATTGAGAATTGAACAGCATACAGGTTTGATAAGCTGTAAGAGCCGTGGTGGCGCAGTGATTAGAATGCAGTGCACTGGTTAGAATGCAGTATTGCAGGCTAACTCTGCCAACTGCCAGCAGATCAAACCTGACCGGCTCAAGGTTGACTCAGTCTTCCATCCTTCCGAGGTTGGTAAAATGAGGATCCAGATTGTTGGGGGCAATATGCCGACTCTGTAAACTGCTTAGAGACGGCTGTAAAAGCACTGTGAAGCGGTATATAAGTCTAAGTGCTACTGCTGTTGCTATAATTATTTTAATAATGATGGTGGTGGTTCAATTGCACAGTCAGCAAGATGGCATTTTTAACCAACTATCAAGTCTTTTTCATGGACTTGGGACTGATACTATTTTTGTTTTCTTTTGCCACAATCATTTTACTTCTATTTGCAGATCTTTGTATTTTCTGATTTTTTTCCCCGTTCTTTCTCTTCTATTTAGTTGTCTCTAGCTATTACTATTATTATTATTATTATACATACACACAACGTGAAATAATAGCTGCCAGTTCTTTAGCCTTCATACACATAGAGTTCTTCCCAAGAACATAGAATGTTTTAATGTATTGGCATGGTATGTCTCTGGATACAAGCGGTGTGGTCTTAAGTAACTGACACATGAAAATGTCAGTGTGCAGATTTTCTAAGTCTTTTTGGGTATGATATTCAATGTTGCAATAATGACTTGGACTACCACGGCTGATTTATGCCATAAACTTTCAGATCTCGATACTTTGCGATTTCCCCAATTCTTTGTCTTCTATTATCCCCTGATATTGGGACATCAATTATTTTAATACAGCCTCAAGATTCAATACCAGACAAAGATTTTCTTGAGCCCTGGTGTCTACAAGAATAGATACACATTGCTCCTTGGCACCAGGACAAGTGTAGTTTTCCATTGCCTTCTTTTGGAGTATTCCTCCCCCCACATAGAAGTTGGGATTTTTCTAGTGTTTTCCTACTCAACTACTAACCAAAGTCAACTGTTTTTCAATAGACCTGTGTCATGTGCCATAAACACAATAATATACTTGGACATGGCACATGGCATGGGAAAGAATTAATTTTCTTCCAATCCAAGAAAGACAGCAAAAGTCAGAAGAGATGACTGGGGTGAATGAAATTTCTGGCAGAACCATGAAACATTCTTAAGGAAGAAAGGGGGAAGAGAGAATGGAAAGCCTCTTACTGCGTTTGCTTTTGTCTTTATTCAAGAGCAGTCGCAGTTCATGTTCCTGTTTTCCAGGGACGGTGTCTTGGGGCGGGGGATCCATGGGCACCTGCAGAAGAAGATAAATGAAAAAATGAATGGACACACAAAACAAGGGCTGGCCATTTCTTCAACCATGAAGAAACCATGATAAGGCAGATCAACTGACGAATCTGGCTCAGGAGGATAAGATTCCTTAGTTGCTAGCCAAGGGGAGTTACTGATGGCACCTGCCATTTCTCCCAGGCCAGCTCATACGACATCTGAGTCCATTCCACACTGTCACAATGCCTCAGTGGGGAAGTATTGGGGAAGGGGATCACACGCCATGCCAAGAGACAAACTGCATCCAGTAACAGAGAGGTCAGTAGATTTGCTGATTTGGTTGAGGACACTGTATGTCTGTGCAAAATTGAGAAAGTAGATCAGAACAGTTGGAACCTGACGGGCATCGTAAGATGACAATCAACAAATTCCTGTCAATGAATTAGGTCATTGCGCTTGCCCAATGCACTTGTAGGCTGGCGGTTCTCTATCAGTGTTGATTAAAAGCTACAAATCTGTTACAATGTTATAAATTTGCCTTCCCCATTCCTGTGCTCCCTTTCAGCAAGACATCAGTGGGATACGAGAGATGTCAAAGCAAGGGCAGTTTTTCTTGTCAAGGCTGATCCGTCACTAAGATGGAAAGGGCTACTGGTTGATAGCATATGTTTTCACGCCTAAAAGAAAGTCCCTGAAGGAGATGGGTGTTAAAGAAATGTGTAACATAAATAAATAAAAATAAAATTCTAAACTTCCTTTCTCAAATCGATGCCTACCAGCCTATTTTACACCTATCATCTCCATCATTGGCCGTGGTAGCTGAAACCATTGAGATATGTTGTTCAAGAATCTAGAGAGTTTTGGGTTGGAAGGAGCATTCCAGGCATCAATCCTAGTGAAATCATATCCGGTTGCAAAGTTCTACCTATTAATTTATAGATTCTATAAGTGGCACAAGACCCTATCCCATAGCCCAGGGGTAGGCAACCTTGGCTCTTTTATGACTTGTGGACTTCAACTCCCAGAATTCCTGAGCCAGCATTATTTTCTTGTACCCCTGCCACCAGTTCTTATGATGGCCAATGAATAATTCAATGATCTCTGACCTTGGCAATTCCTGTGTAAACAGAAGTTTAAAGATTTTAGTCTAAAAACTTGAACTTTGCCATGAAACTCTGAGCTGCTCTGAAGGAGGTTGACATATTAGTCAATTCTATAATGCCGGTTACATGATTTTATCTCAATATATTGTTTAATGTGGGTCTCGCGTTCAATCCATATCAATCTCATATTTCTGTATCAATCATTTTCCAGGAAATTTTAAAACACGTCAAGACAATGCTGGACCCAAGATTGTTTTCTCCCTGGACTATATCTGCACCTCCCTTCCCTTATTTTCCAAGTTGACCCTAAACAACATAATGGCTGCACTAACCCGCAAGTGCGGGCGAGTAAGCTGTTCCACTTGCTGTTGATGCAAGCTTGCTAGGAAGAACTGGTGCTGTAGCTGCTGTGTCTGCTTCAGGGCCAGTAAGGCAGTATCTGGGCTGGGTTTGGCAAGACGCTGTCCAATCCGCAGGTCCATGGGGATGGTCTGGGGAACCTGCAGGGAGACGCAGAGCTTCACAGCACCTCCTGAAACACAAGAGAAGCTTTGTTAATACCTGCCCCACCTGATTTCTGAATGAAAGTCTAATTCCTCCAGGTTAGACCAAGTCATGTTCCATGCTGGAGTTCTTTTTTTTTTTCTAGAACCCAAGCTCTTCCCACTCTAAAAGTTTGAATCAGAAATGTACTAGTGCCTCAGAAAGCTGCCCAACCCTTGAGTCCCACTCTTCATCTGCAATGCTTAGCAGTCCTCCTACATTCTAGATAAAGATGCTTGGATTAATTTGAATTTGATAAAATCTTTTGCACCCGTGTTCCTAGGCTGATATGCACATAAAAGAACTTCAGAACTTTCAGGGGGAGGAAAATGTCCCAGATTGAATACGTATGCACTTTGGGATTTAAAAAGCAGGTGGCAGCACCTGGTTCACCTTCTCTGGGTTCAGCACCAAGCAGGGTTGGGCCTGCTAACTACTTAGAGGGCGACAACCAGGAAAAACTAAGTAATATATCTAGACTTGGAAGTTGAAAAATCTTCCCAGAAGAGAAGAAAGACAGTTACTAAAAAAAAAAAAAACCTGCAAGGTGATGTCACATATACCTATATTGGCCATTACAAAAGGACATTAGGTCTAAATACTGTCTTTAAAGGGAAACTATGCTCTAAATTGCATCTTGAAATTGGAAATAATAACACCTGAGTGTTTCATTTTTAACATGAAAAAAATTCTATAGGACAAGAGAAAGAGGTAGGTTCCTTGAACATCATTGTTTTCTACACAGTAATGTATCAGTCTCAATACTGATTCTGCCAAGATACTTACTAACCAACCAACCTGAACATGCCTCACATCTTGGATGTAAACTAATTTATGCAAAAAAAATAATATAATTTTGCACAGGACGATACTACCTTCATGCGTTGTTATTCAATTTATTTTGTATTGCAGTTTAAAATAACCGTAGCCTATCTTTCTGCCAGAAGACTTTTATGATATATATTCCAATAAAACCAAGGCACCATGCAATTAAACCCCCCCACATGCACACACAGCATATCATATCATACATAAACAAATTACCAGGAGGAAAATATGTAGGCAGTTAATACCCAAAAAGAAATAATCGTGCTATTACTTGCCCAAAATTCTAACAAATAAAATAGATTCTATCTATTATCTAGAAAACAGCAGGAAAAATTGCAGATAAGCAATTCCAGGTATTAAGTTTACAACTGTGCCTTTCTCTGACCGATACCCACTTAATTTGCTAAAGATGATGCCACTTAGAAAGTTTCAGAAGGTTACAGTCCTAGTGATTGAGCAGCATCACATATGCTGAAAAAAAAAAAAGATGGATCACTGATTGACAGGTGTTGCAAGCGGAGAGTGGAGAGTGAAACAGAACATGAAAGCCAGGAAGAAGTGAGAGTCCTTTTTTTCTAGCCACAGAATGAACACTGGTGAGAGAGAAATGCAGACTTCATGTTCTAAATTTAATTTCCATCCCCCCTCATTAATTTGATTTATATCCTACTTTTCGTTCAAGAGCTCAAGGCAGCACTCCCTTCTCTTTCCCCTCACAACAAAAACAACCCTATAGAAGTAGCTATGATTGAGTGTGTGTGACAGGCTCCAAATCACCTCAGCTTCCATGGCTGAGGGTAGGGATGGGGGGGGGGGACTAAATCGGGATTTCTCTGCTCTTCATCCAACACTTTCATCTCTACACTACACTGGCTCTTGAAATTGTAGCTACAAGAAATGTTTCAAATCAACCAGTCAATCAGTTTAGCAGCCTGGATGTCCAGAATCACCATGCATAGTTGCTTCCTAAACAAAACTGCTCAAGTCCAGAGAAAATGAGCAAGACTCTAATCTTTCTTAAAACTTTTGAGAACGATTAAAATGAAGATATAGATATCCCTCAAATCTAGTAAGTATCTTAGTGAGCTGACCAAAACAGCATATCTATGCTGGGTTTTTTTTGGCAACAATATGGAAGGAATTTGGCATTACATTCTTCTAACTTCCCAATTTGGCCTTCAGATCTAAGCTTGTCTGGTCTAGTTGAGGTGTTTTTTTTCCCCCAAGATCAGCCATGTCAAGAAGGTATTTCCACCTACTAAGAAGGGCAATTAACCATCTTCCCCCTCCTCTAGACATTTAGCTGCACTGAATATGGAGCTCATTCTGCGTACTTCAATTACCGGTATATTACATTATACCTCAGCTGGGAGATGGCTTGAGAATCACATATTTCATTTAAAAAAATTCTAGCTACTGTGACTGGAGAAATCGAGGAGAAAGTACAGGTAGTTCTCGACTTACAACAGTTTGTTTAGTGGCCGTTTGAAGTTACAACGGCACTGAAAAATGTGACAAGCAGTTTTTCACACTTGCAGCATCCCGATGGTGATGATGCAATCAAAATTCAGATGCTTGATGACTGACTCATATTTATGATGGTTGCAGTGTCCCGGGGTCACGCGATCCCCTTCTGAGACCTTCTGACAAGCAATGTCGATGGGGGAAGCCAGATTCCCTTAACCACCCTGTTACTAACTTAACAACTGCAGCGATTCGCTTAACAAAATGTGGCAAGAAAAGTCGTAAAATGGAGCAAAACTCATTTAACAACTGTTTCAGCAACAGAAATGTTGGGCTCAATTGTGATTGTAACTTGAGGACCACCTGTATTAAAAGACTGACTGATCTTTTTTAAGACCTTTGCAGGTTCTCTTGCTTTCTTGGACAATGTGCATTTTGCAGAGCTGAAAATGGCTTGTCGCAGAGTAACTGTGGGCAGTGGCAAATCAACTCACCCGGTTATCCTGTTCTTGCTTCCCATCAACTCTATCAAACTCTTCATAAGAAAGCCAGCTTAAAATTCCACCCCATACAGCAAAACCACTAATCACGCTGTTTCCCTCCAAACACTCAGAAACAAGCCCACCAAACCACCCAACAGCAGGCAAAAACACTTGCTTTTATACAATTTCTGATACAATCTGGCACTTTTGCACTCCACAGATCCTTGGGAGAACAGCCAAAGTGAAAACAAACACACAGGCACCCACATGCATATATACACACATAAATATAAGCCAAACCGAAAGAAATAGGCAGAAGAAGAGGGTACCACAAGAGGAAAAACAGAACAGCTCCACTTTTGTCCAACCAGCAGGCCGGCTGGAGGCTCTTGTCTTTATTAAGTTAATTCCAACTTGTCTTGGTGGATTGTGTCAAGAGAAGAAGCAGGCTCAGGGGACATGTAGAAAAACTTTTTTTTTTTTTAAAAAAAAAGAAATTAGTTCTGAAATCAGGAAACCCTTTTCCCCCAAACCAAGGACATTATTTTCTGCCCATTCCAAATTAAATTCAGGGGCAACGTAGGCGTCCTGGGAAATGAATTTTATTAAGGATTGCCCACGATTAGAAAGAAAAAGAACATGATGCAACATTAGAGAGAAAAGTTAAAATATATTTGTACTCATAGCTGCTGTGAAGAACATAGGAAGCCGCTTTTCTGTCTTTTTTTTTCCATTTGTCTTCAACCTTTTTTTCTTTTCTTGTACTTCTGACTTTTTCTTGGATTTCTTTTTCCCTTCCCTACTTTATTATTAGTTTGTGTCGATTTTTATCTTCTTGCTGAAAAGTATAAATAAAATTATGTACACATATGGGTAGTCCTTGACTTACGATCACAATTGAGCCCAAACTTTCTGTTGCTGTTGTTAGTTGCAAAGTCATGTCCGACCCATCGTGACCCCATGGACAACGTTCCTCCAGGTCTTCCTGTCCTCTACCATCTTCTGGAGTCCATTTAAGTTCACACCTACTGACTGCTTCAGTGACTCCATCCAGCCACCTCATTCTCTGTTGTCCCCATTTTCTATTGCCCTCAATCTTTCCCAGCATTAGGCTCCAGTGAGTCCTTCCTTCTCATTAGGTGGCCAAAGTAGACATTTGTTAAGTGAGTTTTGCCCCATTTTAAGACCTTTCTTGTTAAGTGAATTAAGGTAGTTGATTATTAGTAACAGGGTTGGTTAAAGTGAATTTTTTTTCCTCATTGACTTTGCTTGTCAAAAGGTCGCAAAGGGTGATCACGTGACTCCAGGGACCCTGCAACCATCATAAATACACAAGTCAGTTGCCAAATATCCGAATTTTGATCATGTGACCATGGGGATGCCGCAACGGTCGTAAGTGTGAAAAATGATCACAAGTCATCTTTTTCAGTGCCGTTGTAACTTTGAATGGTCACTAAATGAACTGTTGTAAGTCGAGGAGTATCTGTATCAGATCAACTCTCTATACGACAGGCCCCTGATATGACTCGGTATGAATTGCTGCTATAGACTAGCCCATTTTCAATCAGAAGGAATGCTCATAAAATTGAGGTTAAAACCTGCTTTTCATTCTAAGGACTAAAGACAGGTTTCCCCCTCTAGTTTGAAAACAGTGACCCTGAATTTTACTTCTGCTCCTGTCCCTGAATGGCTGCCATTCATTCCAATGGGGAAACAGCCTCTTGTGATCTGTGGAAGAAAAACTCTGCAAGGTCACGACTGCAACGGGCAACATCTGTCTGCAGAACAACTTACTGATCTTTGCAAAACAGATACATCCATTTACAGAAGGGACGAGACTTGCCAGCTGTCCAGATGCTTTACAGGCAACAGGTCCTTAACTTAAACCCTACCTCCAAACCTGAGCAAAACCTGGAGGGCTCCTGCCAACCTGTTCAACAATTCCGAACTATATGGGTTGGGGAGTCAGTTTTTTTTTTCCTACAAAGAGGGTTCCTATGTGATCCAGACATTTCCTTAGTTCGGATATCTGTCTGATTGCAGTTCCAATGATATGATATGGAGGTTGGAGAGAAAAATCTTGTAGAAACTGCAATTTATTTATTTTTTGCTTTGAATGGCATTGCAAAAAGAAAAAAAAAAGGAAAGAATTGGCCCCTCTTGGTCCTAATGTCTCTTGGTCTTCCTGAATCCATTCAATAAGAGTCTCTTGCTT